GTCTAACTGGCACATGCAGACAACCCCACCAAACAGAACACACGTTTTTTTCCAAGTGCCCATGAACATTCACCCACAGAGATGGAGCCTGAGCCTTAAAACAAACCTCAACAAATTTAAAAGAATCGAAATCATACAAAATATGTTTTCTGACCATTCTTCATCATTTATGGAGTCACAGAAATCAATTAATGGGCAAATCTCTAAACTGTTGGAAACCACAACACCACAACACACTTCTAAATAATCCATGGATCAAAAAATTTTCTCAAAAGAACACACATAAAACTCAGTAAGAATTAAAATACAAGATATCAAAATATGTGGACACAGCTAAAGAGGTGCTGAGGGGGAAATCTGTAGCAGTTAAAATGCTTACATTGGAAGAGAGGAAAGGTCTTAAGCCTCTACCTTAAAAAACTAGGAAAAAAGAGAAAAATAAATCCAAAGCAGAAGAAAGGAAATAATAAAGAGCAGAAATAAGTGAAATTGAAAATTGGAAAACCATAAAGACAAATCAATGAAAGAGAAAGTTGGTTCTTCAAGGAAAAAAATCAGTAAAAGTGAAATCTCTCTAGGAATACAGCAAAAATTAAAAGAAGACAAATGATCAATTTCAGGAAAGAAACGAAAGAAAGATATGCCTCCTCACCACTCTTATTCAACATAATGCTGGAAGCTTTAGCCACTGCAGTAAGGCAAGAAAAAGAAATAAAAGGCATACCTACTGGGAAAGAAGAGATAAATTTGTTCTGATCTGCAGGTAACAGGATGATCTATGTAGAAAACCCCAAGGAATCTACAGGAAAGATCTTAGAACCAGTAAGTATATTCAGCAAGGACACAGGACACAAGATCAAGACAGAAAAATCAATCACATTGCTCTATACGAATAAGTGTGTGAAAACGTAATAAAAACACAGTATCATCTACAATTGCTCTAAAGATAAGGAGATACTTAGGTATAACCTTAACAAAACACATACAGGATCTGTATGCTTAGAACTGCAAAAATGCTGATGAAAGAAATCAAAGATCAAAACAAATGAAGACAAACCATGTTCAAAAATTGGAAGATGCAACATGCTAGAGATGTCATTTCTCCCCAAAGTCATCTACAGGCTTAAAACAATTGCTATCAAAACCCTAGCAAGGTTCTTTCAAAGAGAGACATAGACAAACTTACTCTGAGACTTGCATGGAAAGGTACAAGTACTAGAATAGCTAAAACAATCTTGAAAAAGAAAAACAAAGTGGGAGAAATAACTCTCTGGTATTAAGGCCTACTACCTAGCTACAGTAGTCAGCACAGTGTGATACTGGCATAAGGAGAGACTTTCAAATCAGTGGAACAGGACAGAGAGCCCAGAAGTACACCCACACAAAAATCTGGGCCAACAGATTTTTGACAGAAGTGCAAAAGCAACGCAATAGAAAGATAAGTCTTTGCAACAAACGGTGCTGGAACAATTGGACATCCACAGGCACAACACAGCAAAAACCACGAATCTTGACCTAAACTTCCCATGTTACACAAAAATTAACTCAAAATGAATCAGGAGCTTAAATAAAATGTAAAAGTGTAAAACTTTTAGAAAAAAAAGAGAAAATCTTTGGGGTCCAGGGCTAGGCAAAGAGTTCTTAGACTTGACACCAAAAGCATTATCTATAAAGGGAAAAACTGATAATGTGGACTTCATCGAAATTAAAAATGTTTGCTCTGTGAAGATCTTATTAAGAGCATGAAAGGAAAATCTACAGACTGGGAGAAAATTCTCACAAACCAAATATTCAACAAAGGACTAGTATCTAGAATGTATAAAGAACTCTCAAAACATTCACCAACAATAAAAATAAGCAGTGAAAAACAAGCAAGCTAAATTAGAAAATGGGTAAAAAATATGTAGATATATTTCACCGAATACATTAGTGGCAAATAAGCAGATGAAAAGACGTTCAACATCATTAGCCATCAAGGAAATCACATTAAAACCACAATGAGATGCCACACTGCACACCTATCAGAATGGCTGAAATAAAAAACAGGGGCAATGCCAGAGGCTGGTAAGGACGCAGAGAAGCTGGATCACCCATACACTGGTGGCTGGAAGGTAAAATGCTACAGCCACTCTGGAAACAGTCTGGCAGTTTCTTATAAAACTATACATGCAGCTGCCATACAACTGAGTAATTGCACTCCTGAGCATTTATCCCACATATGTGAAAATGCCCGTGTGTACAAAGACATGTACATGAATGTTCACAGAGGATTTATTCACATTAGACAAAAACTGGAAACAACCCAGAAACTTTCAGCAGGTGGATGGTTAAATGGTATACTGTGGTAAATCCATCCCATGGCTACTACTCAGCAACCACAAGGAATGGACTGTTGATTACTGATACACCCAACAACCTGGGTGAATCTCCAGGGAATTAAGCGAAGTGAAAAAAGCCAATTCCAAGAAGTCACATTTTGCATGATTCCATTTTTACAATATTCTTGAAATGAAAAATGTTATAGAACTGAAGAACAGATTAGTCATTGCCAGGGTCAGGGAGGAGAGCAAAAGAGAGGGGGTGGCTATCCAAGGCAACAGGTGGTATCCTGACAGAGATGGGAACGCTCTGTACCTTGACTTCCTCAATGTCAGTATCCTGGTTGTGATGCTGTTGTACAGTTTTGCAAGATGTTACCACGCAGGGTAATCGGTAGTGGGTATATGGGCTCTCTGTTATTTTTAACAACTGCACAAGACTCCACAATTATCTCAAAATTAAAGCTTAAAAAAAAAGACCAGGTTTGGTGCCCAGCTCTGCCACCTGCTTATCAGGTAGCTGACCTTGAGCAGGTTTTAAACTCTCTATCCTCAAGTTCCTCACTGGCTAAATGGGACCATACCATCTGAAGCATTATGAACATTAAATGCCATATGTGAAAGGACCTAGCTATACGAATGGCATATAGCTGGTACTTTAAAAATCACCTGTTGACACTGAATCTGTACGCAGACACAATGATTCTGCACAGTATTGTTCTAGTTAAGGCACTACAGAGCAATTTATTTTAAAAGTCTCTTCCCAAAGTGATAGGCCTAAAAATGGTGCCAGGGTGGAGGGAGGAGTTTTGGGTTTAAACTGGAAAATGAATTTCTAATGTCTAGTTACTGAAATGGTCACAACAGATACAGTAAATTTAAAGTGAACCACAGTCAGTGAAAAAAAAAGTTGGGAAAGAAAATAGGATACTGGTTAACAAATTTCGTTTCTATTGATAAGGAAGCCAGTAAAAGTGATTGTTTTATGTGCACTGGGAAGAAGTTAAGGCTGAGTTTTCTAAAACATTCAATACACTGATTATATTTAAGATTCTGTGCTTCTAAATGATCTCTGCCACCCGAGTTGAAATAAACTGGGAAACAGCCAAACCTTTATGCTCTTCTACCTGCCTGGTTCGGAGGTCCAGAAAAGCAGCAAAAATACACTCTGAACAGACAATGAAATGCACTTTACCCCAGAAGATGAGGGGAATTTTAAACACCAGTTGATCTCCTGAATCACACTGGGCACCTTAGCCTTAAAGTCCTGGGCCAGAGGTCTTACTCAGAGAGGCTTTTGAAAGAGGTGAAAAGAAAAGGGAGTGTTTTATCATTCAAATTATTCTCTTCCCCGCCTGAGAAGATGCTGTTTCTATTAAAATGAAGTATCTTAATAACAATCTCATAAAGTGGGAATACTGGTTCAAGATTCCTGATGCAAGCCTGGAGGAAGGCAGGCCTGAAGCTGGGCTTCCAGCATCCGCGTCCCAGTGAGGAGCCCCTTCACTTCCCCCCCATTTGGGGCTTCCTCCCTGGAGAAGGGAAGGAAATGTACCAGATGGGTTTCTACAGCCCTTTGCTAAAGTTGAAGTCCCTTGGGCACCATCAAGTCTAGTCTCCAGGCCACTCTCTGGTATGATAAACTCCCCCTGACAAGCTTTAAGACAACTTTCCTCAGACCTGTAATTTGGGTTCCCTGAAATGGGCCTGGGAAAGGGCAGGTGACCGGGCAAAGGAAAAGCAGATATAAAACACTAAGAGAAAAAAGAAAAAAAGAATGACCCTATCAAAGTGCATGACAGACTGCTTTCCTGTCATCTTCGTTTTTCTTCAGATCTTTCTTTGGTGCCCTTCATTCAGCACAGGTCACAGTAGACTAGAACGCAGACTTTGTCAGCTCTACAGTTTTTTCACAAATGAACTGCAAAGGAGGACAAGAACTAGAGGACTACAAACCACTTAGGTACATTAAAAGTCGCAACCCAAGGATTAATTATAAAAAAATTTATACCCCTATGCAAACAAACGATTATAGCACAATGGAGGAAATGTGAACGCTGGCCGGCTATTTGATGATATTAGTAAGTTATTAATCCTTAGGTTTGATAAGGCTCCTGTGGTTGCTTTTTAAATGAGGCCTCTTAGCCACACACATATACTAAGATACCTTCTAATGAAGTCACACAACGCCCGGATTTGCTTCACCATCCTCGGGCGGGGGTATGGGTGACGCAGAGCGGCCCTGATCCCTGCTGGGGGGCGGAGGGCGTGGGTACCCACAGTTCCTTCCAGCCTCTCTACTCTGTATGTTTGAAGTGTTCCCAGTAGTTTACAAGGAGGGACTCGCGCCGCGTTCCTCCCCGGCTTACGCCACTCCTCTGAACTTACTGGGAGGGCAGAGCAAGGCTGGCTCCTGACCCCCAGAGGCGGGCCGGGGAGAAGCGTGGATGCCACCCCGCAGGGCGCGTCCTTGACCCCACGTCCGGCGCCGCCCCCCGCCCCCACCTCGCTCCAATCCCCGGGCGCTGGCCGGCCTTCCCGCCCCCTCCGCACTCGGCCGCCGCCGAGAGCAGGAGCGAAGGCCATCGGGTGGGCACCCGCAGCGCGGGCACCCGGCCGCGCGGGGCGGGAGGCCGCGGGGCCGCAACTGGGCGCAGGTGTGCGGCGCGGGGACACGCGCACCTTGAGGATGTTATCGAAGATGGTGTCGCGGAACTCGAGCAGCGCCTTCTGGTCGAACTCGCGGCCGTGGATGATGCGCATCTGCTTGAGGAAGGTGGACTTGCCGCTCTCGCCGGCGCCCAGCAACAGGATCTTGACGAGGCGCCGCACGGCACGCCGCTCGCGGGCCAGTCCCGCGTCGATGTCCCGGCTGCGCCGCCGCGCCTCGCGCTCCGCGTCACGGGCCCCGCCGCCGCCCGCTCTGCGCTCGCGCGCTTGCCGCTCTCGCCGGCGCCCAGCAACAGGATCTTGACGAGGCGCCGCACGGCACGCCGCTCGCGGGCCAGTCCCGCGTCGATGTCCCGGCTGCGCCGCCGCGCCTCGCGCTCCGCGTCACGGGCCCCGCCGCCGCCCGCTCTGCGCTCGCGCGCCCCGCCGGCCTCAGCCGGCAGCAGGCAGCGGCTGAGCGTCCGCACCACGCCGGACATGGCCACTCAGGCCATGGACCCCGGGGCGGGCGAGGCGAGGCGCGCCCCGCGGCAGCCGGCCGCTCCCTCCGGCCGAGTCCGCCGCCGCCGCCGCCCGAGGCCCGCTGGCCGCCCGGCCCGCCGTCGGCCGGCGGAGGGGCGGGGCGCGCGGCCCGCGGCCCGGGGATTGGGCCGGCTGCCGCTCGTCTGGACGAATACGCCCTCCGATTGGGCCACGCCACTTCGAGAGGCGGGCATCCATCGGGCCCTCGGGGCGGAGTCGGCGCCGAAAGAGGCGGGACCTTTGGGTGGGGGCACTCCTCATTGGGCCCCTGGGCTGAGGCTCTTTCTTTCAGAATGAAAGGGAGGCGGGGTCATCGAGGACGAGGAGCGACCCTACGCCATAACCAATTATAATTGCTCTGAGGTCATGTCAATCACGGAGAAGGGGCTTGGGAATGGGGGACTGGCAAAATCGGGCGGGACCAGAAGTGCCAGGTGTACAGAAATGTTCTCCCTGGGTTCCCAGATTGGATCAACCTGTGAGACGAGGTCCCTCGCAGAGCACATTCGACGTTGCCGAAAGCTGGGAAATGCCTTTAGGAGGCCAAGCTGCTCGTCTTAGGTTAGAGAGAAAGCTGCTCCTGAGCCAGTTTCCTTCCAGACACCCCAAAATGAAACACACATTTCCAACAAATACACCCTTTGAGAGTGGCAGGGGCCTCTGGGAGGCTTTTTATAAAAAAGCCGGCGAATCAGAATGACCAGAATCACCTGAAAAAGTCTTTATATAGCACAGTGATCGTCAATGGGGAGTGGAGTTGCTGGGGCTGAGTTGAAATATCCACGCCACCCTTTACTAGTTGAATAACACTTTAAGCAGCTTCTCTCTTCCGCCTTTGTTTTTAGCCTCAATTTCCTCCTCTCTATATTGGGGGCAATTATAGCAACTACATCATATGGTTGTGACGGTACAAACTGAGAACAAGCACTCAAAAAACACTTAGAGTTGCCTAGAACCACGTTAAGTTCTTGATAAATGTTAGGTGATCTTATTGCAGATTCTTACCTGTCCAGATCTAGTGTGGATTAGAACCTTCTGGAAGGAGTTCAGGTGTCTCTTAATTTGCAGGTGGTTGGCCAAATTTGGAAACTGTGGTCTGTTAAAAAATAAACTGAGGCATATTAAAAAGTTTGAGAGTTTATTTGAACAAAAATTGATTCAAATCTGTTGGGTCCAAACTAGAAGTGCCTAGGGTTGCTCTGGGGAGAGGAGCTCGGAGAAAGGCTTACATAGAGAAAATGCAGAAGCAAGAGAAAGGGAATTGACTGGCTATAGCTTAAAGGCTAGTTGGCTGTTCATGACTGGTTGTCTTTAGCATTTTGATTTTGACTGTGAGCACTTTTGGTTTGCTTATGTAGGCCACCATGGCATTACAGCCACCTCAGTCTAATGGCCTCTTAATTTAGTTAATTTAACAGGTCTTAAAGATCATCCTGTCCAAATCTTCCCTCTCACCAGGTGGATAAAAGAAAGACTACTCTACAAATGACTGACCCGAGGTCCCACTTAAGGGTGGACTGACTCCTGGTCCCACTCAATCACTCTGCTCCTAACTGTGAGACACAAAAAATGATTAGTGAATGTGATGTCACTCCCTTCTACAAATAATTTTTGCACACTCACGAAAATGCCGGGCATCGGGGACTTCCAGCGAGGAAGCTGGGGATGCAAAAGATGCAGCCCTTGTATCAAGAAACTTAGACATCATTTAGGCACCCAGGCTGCTCCATTCACAGGGCAATGTGGAGACTAAAGAAATCCCTAGTTTCTGCCACAGAGCTGTGATATTCAAGGGTTTAACTCAGAGATTAAACTCCCTGAGGACCTCGATGCCCATATGTGGCATGAATTTATATGACTATGAATCAACATGTTACCTAGTATTTTGTCATTCAAAAATGTTGAAGAATAAAGTCTAGTTTCTTTGTGACAATGGCCTTCCACAGAAAGACAAATGTGAGTATTATGACAGAAAAGAAAGTGGAGAGGTCTCAGGAAGCAATGTTTCTTAGAAAACAGGAATTTTGGGCAAATAAAGAGGGGAATGTGGAATTCAATGGTAGACCAGGGTAGCTCCTCATTCAGCTAAAAGAAATTAAGGTGATTCACAAAACACTTTGGGCAAGTGTTTCAGACATTTACAATAATTTATTATCTTTATAAATAGCTTTCTGTCTGTGTTTATGCAATCATTATGAGGTATCCAATTTGGGGATTGGACAAGGTCTCTGGACATATCCTTTACATTCATCACAGGGCTAAGGTGCTTGAAATAAGCTTATCTATATACTCACTAATAATCTCTTAATTATCCCCTGTATTTGTATGGCATATTATAGTTTTTAAAGTGCTTTCGCATACATGATGTCCTTTGTTTTCTAAACAGAGCTGAGGGGGAGGCAAGACAGAGATTAGTGTAATAGAAGAATCTGGGTCTCAGGAAATGAATGTCTCTTGTCAGAGGAAGTATGGTTAGTAAATTGCAGGAGCTGGAATGGAAATCTAACCTAGTATATTTTCCGTGAACAGTATGAGGTGGATGAGAGTTGAAGCTTGGCTCCACCACCTGCTAGCTGTGAGGCCCTGAACAAGTCACTTAACCCCTCTAAGATTTAGTTTATCCATAAAATAAGGATACAAACAAGACTGTAATAAATGTTAAACAAGTGAACACATGTAAGGCTCTTGCACAACATGAGTGTTCAGTGACTTCTGACATTCTTATTGTTATCATGATGGAGCTTTGGTGATCAGGTACTGCAAGTTTAGAATGATAATAACGGTGTGATGAAAAACTCATGAGGACAACACATTGTATAATATTAAAACTCAAAGCCTGGGAAAAGGTTCGATTCAATAAAGTATAGCCATATAAATGCAATAACATACAGTTCCTAAAAAGACTAAGCAAGAACAAAATTTGTAAACAGATGGCTACCATAAATTTACAAACTGGTAGAGGGGTGGGAAGGGTACCTTCAATGTTCCCCCCAACTTGGGTTTAATACTCCCTCCTGGGCTAAGGGGCAGCTGGAAGGAGGTTCCACTGGTAGGGCCTGGAACATATATGAGGAATAGTGAGCTCTTCTGGAATCTCCAGAAAAGGGACAGCCACAGAACTGCCACTCTCCAGCTGGGTGGGAGTGAGGGGATCAGCATCTCAGAGGCCTGGGATAAGGCCTAGGTCTCTATGGTACCCCAAAACAATAGGGTCCCATGCACATGGTCTCCTCCTAGGCCCTCATATGGCTTCTCTGGCCTAGGGGGAATGTGGAAGGGCTGCATGGGCAGGGGGCTGGGAGACCTCCAGTCCTGGGAATGGGGACTTGCCAACAAGTGCCACTGCTGAGACCTGGGAGCTTCCGCTTGAGGCTCATCAGAGGAGCAACATCTTGCCTGGTACCTCATCTTCTGTCACCACAAAAGAGACCCTAAAAGCTTTCCCTGAAAGTCAAAGAGCTCTGAGTGGGAAAAAGAGTATTTAGATATGTTTAAGGGGACCCAGAAGCCAGAGAGTAAATTAAGCAGAACATATTAACTAGTGGTATAGATGAAAGATTTATACCACCACCTCCACCATCACCACCACCACAACCACCACCACCATCACCACTACCACCTCCTCCACAGTCACCACCACCACCACCTCCTCCACCGTCACAACCACTGCTGCCACCATCACCACCGCCACTACCATTACCATCACCACCACCTCCACCCTCACCATCACCACCACCTCCACCATCACCACCACCACCATCACTACCATCACCACCTCAGGAGAGTTATTCATGGTATAAAACAACAGCATACAACAACAAAAAATTGAGAACTGCTGAAAACAAAAGGAAAGACCTGGAAGGGGGAAGGGAAAGAAATATCTCAAAATCCAGAGGAAAAGTATAAAGAGTTGGAAATTGAGACAGGAAGGATAGGGGGGTTACATGTGAATGATCTAGGAGGAGGGGAGAGAGAGAAATAATAAAGAGACTTCTTTTCTGACAGTCCAGTAGGCCAAATGCTCTGGCCAGCTCTCCTGCAGCAACAGTTGAAAATGGTGTACAAACCATTCAAAGCTTTGAGTTATGAGCTGAGTAAAGAAACTTTGGGGGCTGAAATCAAAGTGGAAGCAAAAAGTCAGAGGTAAGCTGATCAGTGGTGAGGCCACCAGCTGCTCTGAGGACACCTGCTGAAATCTTGCAAACCGGACCTATTTTTCTGGCTGCAGGTGAGGGGCAGGAGATAAAGTCTAAAGCTCAGCAAAGGTAGGGAGTCTGATAAGAAGCCAGTGCACACCCAGGACCATCCAGCACTAGGGTGAAGTAGTAAAATCAACAGGATGGGTTTCAATACTTGTTTAACAGATTCTGTTCCAATGACAGTGAGCGTGCATTTTTAAAAAACCACTAAACATTCAAGAAAATAAGGCATGAAAATTAGGCATGAAAATCAGCCCAAACTACAGACAACAGAATCACACTCACAAAAATTTGGGATATTGGAATTATTAAGTACAGATCATAGAGTGAATATATTTAATATCTCTGAGGAAAAAAAGAGACTTTATATAAAAAATATGTCTGGGAAGATGTGAAAAAGAACCAAATAATACATGTAAAACTGTAAGCTAAAACTCAAACAGAAATGGAATAGATACGGTAAATTGCAGGTTCAGACAGAGATGAAGAGAATCAACTGGAATACAGATCTGAAAAGATTACCTTGAATCCAACAGAGACAAAAATATGGAAGATAAGAGACAGGAAAGGTGGAGGAAAATATTGGACATATAGTGAACCAGAGTTCCAGAAGAGGATGGAGAGAGGAAGATGAGGTCATATTTGAAGTGATAATGGCTCAGAATTTTAAACTGACAAATGACATGAAATGCTCAACATGACAAAATGCAATCCAGACTAAGATGCACCAGAGTGAAATTGAAGGACACCAAAGACAAAGAGAGGATCTTAAAAGTAGCCAGACAGAAAATAAAATAGCTACTATGTATATGAGGGTCAGTTCCCTCTGCAGCCTCTCTCCCTAGTGCTAGGTGCCAGGCACTGTCTG